GAAGTCAATTTTAATTGGTTCATCAAAGTCACCATAACATAACTTGTTTATTGATTGGTTAGTTGTCTAGGTCACCTGATAGTTATTAATTTATTGTGGAGAATAATGACGAATAAACGATCGAACTGGAAATAATGAGATTTGACTATTCGACTGCATCTGAATGCTAAAATTTAATTCGATACTATTCTGGTTTTGTTTTAAACAAAATTAAAATTTGAAAATAGTTTTTGAAAGTTGAAGAATTAGCTTAATCATTCATGGCACATATTGTGTATTCTCAAAGAAAGCTTCAATGGAAAAATAATAAGAATTGTTGAGAAAATTGTTGTAGAAAATTTCTTACACCTTGTAGTTGACAGATAATACCTAACACGGACTGGTAGACGTTCGGATTCCGCTGAAATAAACTACTCATTCACATCTCACAAGGAAGACTCACTCTGCAAGAGGAGGAGTTTCAACTTACTCACTACAGTTTAACATCATCAATGGAGTTCGATTAGTTTTATGTATTTTGCTTGTCGATGATGTTGTGCAATGATCTAATTGAGCAAATGTTTTGCATTACCATTCTGAACAACATGATCGTGTCTTCAATCAAGTAAATGTGAGATTTTAATCATTCTACAACCTTGACATCAGTCAATGTTAATGACTTTATAACTAATTGTTTTTCGTACTTACTTACTTACATACTTACGCCTGTTAATCCCAATGTAGCATAGGCCACCCGCAAGTTTTCTCCAACCAGCTCTGTCCTGGGCTTCCCTTTCCAGTTCTGTCCAATTTTCGTTCATTCTTCTCATGTCTTTCTCTATTTCTCGGTGTAATATGTTCCTTGGTCTTCCTCTTTTCCTTTTCACCTTGAGGGTTACATGTGAGGAGTTGTCTCGTGACGCAGTTAGGTGCTTTTCGTAGTGTGTGTCCTATCCACTTCAACCGCTTCTTCCTCATTTCCTCCTCCACTGGAATCTGATTTGTTCTTTCACACAGTACGTTGTTGCTGATGGTGTCTAGCCAACGAATCCGAAGTATTTTGCGTAAACAACTGTTAAAGAATACTTGTATCTTGTGGATGATGGCTTTGGTAGTTCTCCATGTTTCCGCTCCATACAGTAGAACTGTCTTGACATTTGTATTGAAAATCCTGATTTTGGTTTTGGTTGAAAGTTGTTTGGAGTTCCAGATATTTTTCAAGTGTAGAAATGCAGCCCTTGGTTTGCCAATCCGCGCCCTCACATCTGCATCGGATCCACCTTGATTGTCGATGATGCTGCCCAGATATGTAAAGGTGTTAACGTCGTCCAAGGCATTTCCATTAAGAGTGATTTGGTTTGTGCATGTTGTGTTGCATCGCAGAGTTTTGCTTTTTCCTTTATGTATATTTTTCGTAGATTGTCTTATTTCCATCACATTTTCTTTTGACCAATGATCGCACAAATGTTGAGCTTTTTTCAATATGAATTGATAAATTTAATCGATATCTATGTATCTGTTGCTTTTAAATTTACATGAATATCATACGACTAGAACTTTTCTAGGATTCTTTAAATTTGAAAAATGCACCAAGTACACAATTCGAGACAACTTTATGTTACAGGGCAGATTTCACTTCCCGGCTGCCCACACCGTGGGATGGTGTTTCTTGAAAAACCTGAAAAAGAAGGTAGATTAGCGTTGGTCTTAGAGACCTGGGAGCGTGACCGCAGAGTCCACGGGATAAATGCTTCAAGCTGGTCACGCATGGTCTTGTTCTTGTTTAAAAGGCCTTACCATCGAAGACAGAAATCCGTGAGATAAGGTGAGGTGTGACAGTTTTAGGGTCGAACTTTTCTATCCCCTTCCTTCCTTGCTGACTTGTGAGAAGGCAGCCTCGCTTTAGGTGCTAGTTGTCCAAGGGAAACACCTTACTGCTGTCACACCTCTCTACAGTCAGCAGTATGACTTCTCCCTCAAACCTTCAGTTGCTGTTTTTAGCCTTATCGTTCTCCAATCGACCTGCATGGCATGGTAGAACGTTCAGGAACATATGTTCCAGCCAATATAGCTCGACTGGGTCATCACAACAGGCAAGCCCAACCATCACAACATGGTAGCAACTATGGTCTTACAGTAGAATTAAAAGAAATGTATATTTCATCTTGTCTGAAATTCATTAGTGATGTACTATGTGAACATTTATGCCGATGATGATATTGAATTGCTTATCCTAAATTTTCTAACACACTGAAATCATTAACCATTATGGAAAATATTGACGATTTGTAAGGAGATAACAACCTGTATATCCATGAGTAGAAAAATGTATATTGAACCATTTCATTTATTTATGTAAGAACATAAACAAATAAACTACCGAACCCCCCTCCCCACAGTTAGTTAGCTGACGAAGAAGTAAATTTGCCACAGTATCAGAAAATAAGGGCATTCCACAATACTTACTAATCTAAGATTTAGCTATCCTGGAAAACACGATTTCTACGAGCGGTGGTCGTGGATGCGCACTACTGAAGAGTCTCATGCTAAGACAAAACGACCGTTCAATGCTTCCAGCTTTTTAATGGTGGTCTAACATTTATCGACTACTTAATTTGTACTCCTGAAGTCCATTATTGTTAGACACGATTAAGAACCTGGAAGCACTGGACAGCTATTTCGTCCTAGTTCGGGACTCATCAGCAGTGCAGACCTATTGCCCACACCCACATGGTGATTGAACCCAGGACTTTCAATCATGCACACGATACCAGCTAAGTCGTGTAGAGGTTAAGTGTGTCCAGGTTTCTTAATGATGGACTAATAATGACAATGAAACTCAACAAACTCCGTAACTCCAAAATAAAAATACCATATTACATCATAATGATAATATTTTCGGACAGAGCATTGGAGGTTTGTGTTTTTTTACACATTTGAAATCATCAATCAATCATTGTTGGTTAGACCACCATTAGAAACCTGGAAGCACTGAAAGACGGCTGTTTCGTCCTGGTATGGGACTCATCAGCGCTCACTAGTGACTAGATTTGTGAGGAAATTCTCGCAGTTCTCGTTGAGAAGACGTGCTTGACCAATGGAGTTCAACCCTGTCGGGTGTAGGCAGTAACTACCAAAGACAAATGGGTGAGGTCGCACAAAATCTGTAGATCAATCAGAGTCAGATATGAACACCGTTGGATGCCGGCCCAGTGGCCCGATGGTTAGGCGTTCGCGCACAATACCGAAGGTCCCGAGCGTTTGAATCCTGCGAGGTGCAGGAGTCGTGGATGCGCACCACCGCTGATGAGTCCCCTAGCAGGACGAAACAGCCGTACTTCAGTTGGTCTAACAATGATTGATTGGTGATTTCAAATGGGTAAAATATAATGATTTTTTTTTTAATTCCATGTGTTTTATCATGATGATGTTGAATGTATTCACTAAATCAATAACAGAAAAAAAAAACCAACATTACATTTAAACGTTTAGAATAAAAGTTGAATTAATTAATTAATACAACAAAGTGATTTCGTTTATTTGTGTAGTCTTAGTGTAACACTTGTGCTTGTTCACAGTTGAACCAACCAAAATCTCATTCATTTCAATAATTTTTAAAAATGTATCGAAATGTTTTGTAACACTTTTTCACAAGAATATATATAACAACAGCAATGGTGATAATAACTCCAACCGGCCTTTTTTTCTCTTATTCTGCATTTCTCTCACTATCTGTATGTATGTACGTAAGTAAGTAAGTAATGATTGACTATCGAAGAACACTTCCCTACTGTTTTTTTAAAAATGAATCGCAAAATTATTCTTCATTCCTAAGACTTAATATGTCTAGTTGTACACATACAACATATATGCATACATACATATACGAATTTACTGACTATTAGTACAACCCCACCCACTACTAAGTACTACTACTACTACTACTACTTATATATACATTAACATCTCATGGATGATTAGAAGGGGTCTGTCGAGTTAACTCTATTCAATAAAACATTTAATATCTCCTTTTAAAAAGTTTTATAAGGTCATACACATATTATGTGTCTAGCCGATTGTAATATCAAACAACTACGTACCTATCATCTCTCTATATGTCTTCTATATGCCACGACAAACATACGCATACATACACATATGGATAAGAGTAAAAAGTTAAACCATTAGAAGAAGGAATACACCTATTGAGAAATGCTTTTATATGATTTGATAAATAGATTAATATGCGGACATGTATGTGTTGTGTTGTGTGTGTGTTGTGTGTAGTCCTAGTTGTTTTTCATACATGATGTCAAAGGGTAGACAATTTATGTATGTATGTATGATTATTATTATTATTATGAATATTATGATTATAATTATTATTATTATCATAATTATGAGATAGATGGAACAGGAGAAAAGAAAAAAAACTGAGAGAAAAATAGTATTCGGTTGTCGTCGTTGGGTGCGGGAGGAAGCGGGGGGGGGGTGGACAGTTGAACAGATGATGATACCAAGACAGACTTAAAAATGCACAGAGAGTATGAAAATTTAGATAGGACGAGAAAATGGTTTAGGTGAGGGTAGAGAGATTATTATATTTCTCTTTTGGTGGAGAAGAGCAGATTCATTGTCATGATATCTATCTATCTATGCATATATACATATATAAATATATTTTCTAATACTATACTTCTATACATTATCAAGTTATTCTATCCCCTTGTTAGAAACTTCTTATACAACTACGAACAAATATATTGCAACGATATGTATGCACATTACACATACAACACTACTATTACTATTACTACTAATACTACTAGGTGGATGGATTAACAATAAGTTACTTTTTATTTATTTATTATTTAATGAATGAACAGTGATTGGTTGGATATAATAATCTTTATACAATTTGTGAGATGAATTCTATTGAATTATATAAATTTTGTGGTTAATTAACAAGAACGGATAATTTTAAAACAAGTTTGTTTTTTTTTCTGCACAAAAACCGAAACATGAATGACAATGCAAATGTAAATGTTGATCAACTATTATGTCAAACAAATATTGACGAATTAGATGCATCTGAGAATAGTGGTAAAAAATATGAAGAAACTTTCTCCATGTCATCGTCATCGTCATCAGCATCGACCACAACATCATCGATATCAATGTGTTCACCATCGAAAATCACTACAGTCACTTCAAATATGATCATATCGACGCTGAACAACACTTCACCTGCATCATCCTCATCGTCCTCCTCGTCGTCATCAACATCATCACCGTCATCAATCAATGCGCTGAAACGTGCACGTTTTGATTCAAACCCAACTGACATTAATAATGGTAATGCTAATAGTAATAATATTGATCGTAAGCCGTTTTCGCACAATCCATTTACATGTCCATGTGGTCGATTGTTGTTAGATTCCAGTGAATTTATGGAACATGCACATCAATGTCACGAGTTGATGATGATGATAACTGCATCAAATTTCACTGAACTATTAGCTATGAATACAACACTGGCTATGTCATCAACTTCATCAACATCATCATCATTATCGGAATGGAATAAATATTTTCAATTAGTAAATTCAAATAATTTTTCAATTAACAACATTCAAAATGATAATGATTTGACCAAAAATCATACAAACACCAAAGGAAATTCAAATTTGTTTCAATCAGCTTTGGATTTATCATTTCGTTCGAATGAAATCCCTTCGTCGACTGTCTCCGCATCCACCTGCACATCAACATCATCATCATCAGCAGCAACCACATCATCTTTAAATAATCGTGATAATAATAATAACAGTCATGTGTCAGCTAGCATCGATTGTCCCCAATGTTCTTTCACAAGTACAGATATATCCATTTTGTGTAAACATTTCGAATTAGAACATGATGATAATATACATCATCAATTTACATGTTCAAAATGTCATCAAACTTATGATCAACTGGTGTATTATTTAAAACATCAATTAGTTCATCAGTGTTCGTCAAATATTGTATCCGATTGTTTTAATCAACTATCTTCATCTTCTACGACGATTAGTCGAACTGTTACTTCGACCATTAACACTAGTTCATCTGTATCCACATCATCCGTGAACACAATGAATTCAAATTCGACAAAAACACATCATCCTAATCATCGTGATCATCAACAATTTCAACAGGAACAACATTCAACTAATCATGGTGAACATTACAGTCGTGTTGTAAAACATCACTCATCACTATCATCAACGTCATCGCCAACAACAACAACAACAAGAACGTATTCCAGTAATGATCAACAATATGATGTTGATAAGTCCGAGAAAAAGCTATTCACATGTCATGCATGTCATCAAACTGGTTTTACACATACTACTGAATTAATTAGTCATTTCATTGAATGTCCAACATTTATATCACTTAGTGAGAATATTGACAAGAGTAGTGGAAATAATTATAGTATGAAAACCTCTTCTACTACTACTGCAACTCCTACTACTAGTAGTACTACCTCGACTACTACTACTACAAATCAACAACAATATCCTATGAATAATAGTAGTATTAGTAGTAGTAGTACATGTGTATCTCCATTATTAAATGGATTAATGCATAATTCTACATTTGATTTTGAAAAAAATTTCAATGATCTATTCAAATCATCATCATGTCGTAGTAGTAGTAGTTCAACAACAATTCAAAATTATTTATTAAATGATTTTTCATGTCATTCAATACTTACTGATAATAATACTACTAATACTAATAATAATAGTAATAATAAACATTCTAATCGTAAAAGTAACAATCATTTCTATTCACCTTACACACAAACCTCGTCTTATTCACATTTTTTGTCAAATTTACAATCATTTGGAAAATCTTATTATCAACATAATGGCACAATAAAATCTTCATCATTGGATGATAGATCTATTGATTCACCAATAGTAATGAATGAATACAATTTGAATCATAATGACGTGTATCATCATTGTCCAACATCGGTGAATTCATTCATCATGAATGAATTCAATGCTAATCATCATCAACAACAATCACAACAACAACAGCAACATCGTTATATGAAAGATCAACATCATCATCGACAATCTCATCAACCGCAACAAAATCATTCAATGATCAATAATTCACTACCAACAACAACAACAACAACAACTATTGACAATTTAACTGATCTGTCAAGGCCATTTAAATGTTGTCATTGTATTAAAGCATTTAAATCGAAAGCATTATTAGATCAACATATGCATATACATTATCCACCAAAATATACATGTCGTTATTGTGCTAAAAAATATCGTTGGCCACCAGTATTTTATCATCATCAACGTACTTGTAAGAAACGACCACCACCACCTACACCAACATGTACAAGTAATAATGATCTACATAGTACTACTAATACTACTACTAGTAGTACTAGTACTACGACTAGTAGTACTACAATGTCAACAAATACTACTCATAATAGTAGTTCAATGAAACGTAGTCATCATCAACAACAACATCATCCTGCTCATCATCATCATCATAATAATAATCTTAATTATTCAGATATTAGAAAAAACTTTCCACTGACATCAGAGACAACATTCTCATGTTTACGTTCAATGAATAATTCATCATTGTACAATAGTTTCACATCATTAAACAATTCAACTAACAATGAAACATTTTCATCACCATTGAATTCAAATTTATCGAATAATTCAACTATGCTACATAATAATAGTAGTAATAGTAATAATAATAATATTAATGATAGTAATACTAGTAATAATAATGCAACTTTAATTCCACCGCCAAATTTCAATAGTTTCACAGCATTAGCAGCTGCAGCAGCTGCTGCTATGGCAATGAGTATGCATTTTCAAATTCCATCATTTACAAATATACCATTGCCTCCTTTAGGATTGACTAGCTCATTCACATCATCGTCAGCATCTGGAACATCTACAGCGACCCCAACAACACCGACAACAACATCATTTCATAATCATCATCATCATCATTCAGTTGCGACGCCATCACCATCATCATCTTCAATAGGTTTCTCTTCTTTACCAACGTCGTCGTCGTCATCAGCGTCATCATCTAGACGACTTCAGTCGGGCGCTAATTTATTCGACCAAGCATTATCATCAATTCCAGCATCGCATCATTCAGATTTCTTGCAGACATTCATAAATTCATCAAATTTTCAGCCACCGAATTTTATACCGCCATTACTGATGCCAAATTCAAATGATACATCGGATTGTAAATATTTACATGAAGTTGCTTCGTTGCAATCCCAGCTGAATTTCCCATCCATCGGTTCAACATTAACAGCTACAACATCTTCACCAATGTCCACATCATCTTCATCAATCGTGAATAATAATAATAATAATTCTTTAGATACATCTCAGCCGCCATTCAATATTTTCAATAATCTATTATGTATATGTGGTATGCGTTTTAATGAAATGTCCAGTTATTTATTACATATAACAAATTGTTATTTTTTAAAAAATTTAATGCAACAATCATTTTTGAATAATTCAAATCATTCGGAATTTCCAACGATGATGATGATGATGACTGCACCATCACGAACAACCACAACAACAACAACAACCACAGCGGCAGCAACGGCGGCAGCGTCATCTCCATCTCCATCAAAGTCATTTTCATCATCATCTACATGGTCATCAAATACATTAACAGAGAAAAAATCAAATTTCCATGGATTTCCATATTATTTTCCACAATCATCATCATCATCATCATCATCATTGAATTTTCCATCGAATACTACTTCAATTGATTCAAATGAATGTCAGCATCAAGATGATGAGGTATTGAATAAAAGAAGGAATATGCATAATGATACTCATCATCATCATCATTATGAACAGGTAGAAAATTTAAAAAATTCAAAATTATCAAGAATTCAAGGCGAGCCGGTAAAATATGAAGAATTGAACATTGAACATTCGAAAAGAACACATGAAAAACTGATCTGTGAAGAAGAAGAAACTAGTACAAATGATTTGAATTATTCACAGAATGATATTGACACATTGAATGAAAATGCTCATGAACATTTGAATAGAAATACTGTTGATTTAATAGAATCTCAATGTAAACATAAAAAATTCTCGCCAAATTCATCATCCTATCATACTGAAAATAATCTACATTCAGATAATCGAATTATTAATACAAAGAATGGAAATCATTCATTTGTTAAAGGAATGGTTACAAGTTCAATGAATACTACAGCTGATACACAAGAGCTATCATGTCAAGTTCCACAAATGGCAGTGTCTACTTATTCTTCTACTTCTCCTTCAAAAACGCCACCAATTCAATTATCTTCAAGTCCTACAGTGGATATTATTGATAGTGATCGATCAGATTATCATTCTGCACAGAATAGTTCTAATAATAGTAGTCCAGAACATATGAATTCTATGTTGACAACAATAACGCCAACATCATTATCATCAACAATGACAATAGTAAATTCACCAAAATCATGTTATCAATGCGGTAAAGAGTTTAGTTCACGTTTATCACTGAAACAACATGTTGAAGGTAAACATAGTACTGAAGGAAAGTATTGTTGTCCTGGTTGTTCAAAACGTTATCGTTGGGGTGCATCATATTATTATCATAAAAAATCATGTCCAGCTGTTAGAGAACAAAGTCCAGTACCAAGTGATTTAGTGAATCATTTATCATTATCTGGTTCAGAAGAAGATAATTCTTCTTTGTCATCAACGTCATCGTCATCCTCATCATCTTCACCAGTAAATTCTCCTATTTCTTCGTCTCAACTTAAACCGATTGAAGTATACACTGAGGAAGAAAAAGAAATAGTTGACCAAGTAGGAGAAGAAGTCGACGACGTAGCAGAGGACTGTAGTAATAATAATTACACAGATGATCACGATGTTGATGCTGATGACAATGAAAGCAGTAACAATACTAATAATAATACTACAAAGAAGAGAAAAGGACACACGGATGATTTATACAATCCTTTAAAAATTTGTATTTCACATAGAAAATATTTACGATCTTCATCAAGAAATAGAGATGATAGCATGCAGGAAATACATTCTGATAAAAATGATCATTTAAACAATATAACAACATCAATTCAAACAAAATTGATGAAACATCATTTAAAACAAAGTAAACAATTATGTCAACAAAATATGAAAGAAGATGCGCTGATTTATGATGTGAATGCATTTCCAGTAAGTATTTCCATTTATGAGTGTTTTTTTTGCTTATAAGGAAAATTCTGTTATGGACTGATTTTAGCTAGATAAGTAATGAAAATCACGAACCCACTGGACAGTAGTGGACATTCATAACCCTATAGAGGATTGAATTGGGGATATGAATTTTTTACAATGAGTTTGAAACTTTTAGATTAATGAATTATTGTTGAGTCTAATATAATGCTTGTGGATATACTAACGGCTGAGCCTAGGAAGTAATTACTGAAGGTCAAGACTTCATATTACACAGCAAGATGTGTCAATGATGTTTTGACAATAGTGAGATTCGAACCCAGGAACTTCGGTATTTTAGGCGAACGCCTAACTTCTGTGGAACACTGAGCTGGTATCTAACGGTGTTAATGTCTAGCTTGATCAATTCACGGAGTTGTGCAACCTCATACACAGTCTTCGGTAGTGGTTACTGTCTACACCAGAACAGGTTGAATTGATCAAGTTAGACATTAAAACTGTTAGATATCGGCTCAGTGGTCCAAAGGTTAGGCGTTCGCCTACAATACCGAAGTTCCTGGGTTCGAATCCTGCGGGGTGCAGGAGTCGTGGGTGCGCACTGCCACTGATGATGAGTCCCATACCAGAACGTAATGGCCATCGTCCAGTGCTTCCAGGTTTCTAATGCTGTGGTCTAATATTGATCGATTCATGGTTTCAAAAATGTGTAACTTAACAACCTTCACAACCCGGTAATACAAATAGCGAGATTGATCGTATGAGTCTAAGAAAACATCAAAAAACTTATTGAAAGAATGAATTTGCGTATTGTTTGAAGTTACAATTTATTTGTATTTTCAATAATATTAAACTTATTTAACTGACTATAAATAGAAAAGAATAGTCTTGTAATTTTAGACAAGAGTGGAAGATTAGTGTTGTTCGAATTATACATTTTAACAAGATGACTTGATAAGATTAATTAGTAAATGACAATTCATGTTGACTCTTTAGTTTACTCAAGTTTGTGAGCGTAATTTAGGAACAATTTGAATCAATACCAAGAAGCCAAATTTCCTACCAAAAAAAACTGTGCTACCTTCTGTTGAAGGTTAAGTTGTTTAAGGCGTAATTACTTTTAATTATTTAACAAAGCTACAACTGTTAGGTTGAAATAATATATATATGATTTTTGATCACGTGACAATAACCGACCTCGTTCACTGTTCAATAAAAGTGTAATAATCAAGGGTTTTCAATCATTTTTTCTATTCATTGAATGCATCAGTGGTATATATGAGAGAGGAATTTTTGTTCCTAATTGTCAGATGTAAAAAGTAAATCAACTGAAAATTATGTATTTACTTATATCATGAAATGAACAGAAAAATATTTGATATTGAACACATTGAACACAATATGAGGTAGATGCGCAACATATTCACCGGCATGTATCCTATTCTTTGTTGATTAAATAATCAATAAAAAAAACGACAACATACACCTTCTTTGTTACATGAACAGTTGAATAGATAAAATCGTGTTGTGAATATTGTTCGTTTCGATGTTACTGTATATATGATGTAGTGAAGGAGAACACACGTGAGGGCGACCGAATTGTATTTAACGGAAATTACAGAGTTACTCAGTAAAATAGGAAAACCATATCGTAAATCGTTAATTAGCAAAATATCAATCCATCATATCGAACTGGACTGTTCCTGTTGCAAAACATCAATCCATTGTCTGACATTTCACTGTTCATGCTATTTCATACAAATTCCATTGTGTTCCCACTCTTCCTTTCTTGATCTTCCTCCATCTTCTGCTGTCAGACATTACGTTTTTACTCGTGTCATATACTACTTATAAGTAGCGCGCACCACAATGGTATAAATAAAACAATTATAATAATTGAAATCATGAATCCATCAATGTTATTAGATCAGCATTAGAAACCTGGAAGCACTGAAAGACGGCCATTTCGTCCTAGTATGTGACTCATCAGCAGTGTACACCCACGACTCCCGCTCTCAGGAATCGAACTCAGGACTTTCGGTCTTCTAGGTTTCTAATGGTAGTTAGTCTAACTCTGATCGATTCATAATTTCACTGAAACTCAACAATCTCCACAACTTTAATAATAACGATAATAATTTTGTAAGCTAATTTTTTTATTAAGACAATATCTTATCTTTTTTTTTAAGTATCTATTATTGATAAAGCAATAAGTTTTATAACTTATTTATCTCAATAATAAATATTATTACATATGGATTGTTAAATTAGATCATTAAAAAAAGAAATTTTCGTGAAAAAATAAATTTTCCCAATGAAAATACAGAGTTGTAATCGATAATTATCAGTAAATTTAATGATTATCAGTTGTTCATTCTAAAAATTCTCCAAGTGAGAAAGTGAATTATTTCGATATTGTGAATGACTGATAAAATTTGAGAGAATTGCATTTCATAGTAAATATTCGTATGGATTAAGTTAGGTTTGATTTAAATCATAGACAGATTGGAGTATTCTTATATGTACATGTCTTGACAGATATTCTGTTACATATGTAGAGAAAAAGTGTTGAACATTGATTAAATGCTGAAGAGCTCATTCTATGGATTCCACTGTTAATCAATCATCACCTACCAAATATACAAATATTGTAAAGACTAAAGACTATTACAATTGTTTTAATTAACAATGATTGATATGCAAAGAATTGCCAGAATAAAAGTCATAATATTCGTCGTATATTACTACTTTATTAAATAATAAGTAACTAAACACCTTTTTTTATTGATCACTAATTATGATGAACAAAATAGAAATTTTACATCAAACAGAGATCGTCGTTCAACATTGAAATCGTGAATCAATGAATATTAAACCACCATTAAAAACCTGAAAGCAATCGCATGCGAGATCGACACTCTTGGATTTGATTCTCGCTAGGGGGAGTCGTGGATACGCACTGCTGATGAGTCTCATACTATATAGGATGGAACGGCCATAATTTAAGTAGTTCCAGGTTTCTCAGTAATAGTCTAACAATGATTCATTCATGATTTAACCGTAAAAATGAAAATTATTTTAAAAAAACCTTAAATTGTACTCTTTTTTTGCTTAAAGTTTCGTTATTAAATGATACATTCAGAATAATTTATCTCAAATTATTGAAATCACTAAATACTATAAGAAGTCATAGCTGAAACACCAAAAAAAGTTCTCATTATGTTTTATATTGAATAACATCCGTAAGTGTGATAAAGTCGTTTTTGATCTGAAAAAAAAAACAGAATAACTGAATTAGTGTCAGTAGTAGATTAATGTTCAATTAGTTTTAAATGATATTTCAACAATCATATTGAATCTTCAAAAAGGGCGGCCTACTTTTTTCTTTGTAATCATCCCCTGTTATTATTACTTGTCTTCATATAAAAAATGTGACTTAAAGTTTGGTTTAGTACATTAAATTCTACTATTTCAGGTTGGATAAATAGCAAAAACACGTAAATTATTCAACTTTCAAAAGTCATACATTTTACGATTTATTAAAAGTGTCGTTCAATATAATTTAATCTAACACTGCAGACTGTATTCGAATGAAGACAATTGAAAATTCACTCTTGAACATATCAACAACTTTAAAAGGGGTAATTTCAAATCAGTTGAATCAATATCCCACGCATTGAAGATGTTAGCTTTAGTGTTTAAGCTAAATGAATGAATGGATGAATCTACATTTTAGCTGATAAGTTCCGATTAGGATTAAATTTCTATCTTAGATGATAGTTTTAAAATGCAAATATATATATCAATATATACTCTCAGTAAACTAATGTTATAATTGCCAATAAACAAATAAACTTAAATGAACAAATCATTGCATACATTATTTAATTAGTATAAAATTACACAACTTAATGAGAATTTGAACTCATTGATTTCATACAATTAGTGTTTGGGTATATTGTTCTTATTCCTTTTGGTTGATTTACTGTGCATAGAAATGAGATATTTTTTTGTTTGCAAAATGAGTAGCTAAGTTGACATGATAATCTATAAACAAATATGTAGTGAGAGAATAAATGAACAAATTTGAAATCATGAATCGATCATCGTTAGACCACCTATTAAAAAGCACTGAGAGCACTAGATGGCCGTTTCGTCCTGGTATGGGACGACTCATCAGTAGTGCGTTCTCGCGCAAGACCGAGGCTCCTGGTTTCGGATCCTGTAAGATGCAGGAGTCGTGGATGCACAGTGCTGATGAGTCTCATATCAGGACGAAACGGTCGTCCAGTGCTTCTAGGTTTCTTAAGATGGTCTAACAGTGATTGACTCATGATTTCAAAAATATGTAACTTAACAATCTTCAGAACCCCATAATGCAACTGAACCAATTTACATCACTCTGTCATTGTGATAAAAATCAATGAATGGTTTGTACCAAACAATAACTTGACAATATGGATGTATTTTAGTTAGTGTGTGTCATCGATAGAAGAAAGAGGATAGTTAGGAATTGAATTAAATTGTAAGGGTTTGAATCATATTGTTATCAAAATTTGTAAATTGATCAGTCTATTTCGGTAAGGATTGCCATGGTATTGTTATCGGTCACAAGTATTTTTAGGCAGAATTAGGTAGTGGCTAGCAGTAGAGTCCATGAAGCATGTTTTGTTCTATTTGGAACTTGTCATTTAGATATGTCTGTGTCCTAGTACTGATATTCACTCCTTGGTGGACAAGACAGTGGTTATCTGTACTTCATAGTTCTGTACATTTGAAATGAAAGTCATTGGATATGGGGACTGATGTGAATATCGGAACAGTGAATGAAGGTATATCTTAAGTAGGACGGAACAAAGTTCATCGTCTCCACTGCTAGTCACCACTTATAATCAGTAAATTCTTTTCTATAACAGTATTTTCAGACGTCTCCTATCAACAATGACCACTACTTACTGACACAACAGAATTAGGTTCATAGTTTACCATGAAATAATATGCAA